CTACTTTTCCCAAGTTTTTTGTGTTCATTCTGGAGGCCATACATAGACATACCCAAAAACAACGTGGTTTTCAAAAGGGCTAAATATTCCTTAACTTGCAGGTGTTTTCTAGACTTTACGAAAACATCTTCTTAGTTCATTCCTCATTTCCTTTTCTTCAAAGGCACAACCCAGGCACAGGTTGCCTGATCACTTCCCTTCGATGTGTAGTATAGAGCCCTAAAGGACAATCACAAATGTGGCGTTCCCGTGCACGGAAACCAACCGACAAGAGCGCTTGGGCCTTGCAAAGTAAGCTGCTGAAGCTGCAGATTTTTTTCTCTTATCAGGCTGTTGTCTGGCGCTCTCATCTGTAGCGCTCTCTCGCCTCATACTCTCCTCTCCGCGCTTAGTCTCTCATTCCCTTAGCACAGCCGATTAGGAAGGTGAGTGAGCCCTTAACCTGAGCGTTTTCGACGGATTCTTTTCCTTTTTTCTTTACTGCCGGCCCACTTCGCACCAATACATTCGCATTCGTGTGCGAGCAAGAGCCACACCAATGTGAATCCTGGGGCATGCCTTTAACGCAAACATGCAGATGAAAAGGGTAATAGAAATGGATCCAAACCTATTTGCATCTCAAAATGTAAGTTTCTACTGGAACAACCATGTTCAAGATCATTGGTGGTTTAATGTGTTTTCAATAAAAGGATGATGATAATTCGAGTGATGCCGTATATTGAAAATCACACGTGCAATGGTCGCTCCGTAACTCTGTGAGCTTTCTTGTGCAGGGCACCCACTACCACCTCTACTCAGCTCCAATGGGCGAAGAGGTTTTCGAACCATTGGCCTTCAAAATGTAGCAAAACCAACAGCAACCTGCCAAACTTGCAAAAGTAGAACATTAAAACTTTGACCCATACTCAAAAAATTGGGGTATGGGATAAGCCGTAGTCAGGAAAGAACGCAGCGGCCCACTTGGAGAGGAGCTTTGAGAGGATAGGAAAGGGTAAGGCTGCCTAACGGTCACACTCTGATCAAAGTCCCTTCCCATGGGGCACGTCTAACATCACGACGTGATCCTCAAAGCAGGTCTAACTTATTACAAGAACCCCACCTAGGGAAGAGAGAAGGGCGAAAGCACGTACAATACTGCTCCTAACTTTTGAAATCTACGCGTTGCGACGGTTTTGTAGCGTCGCAAACCGTCGCACCTTCATAACTCCCTCGAAAGCGGGTAAAATGAAAGGATCTTACAGCATGGACTCGTCTCTCTGTGGCGAGTCTAACCATATACAAAACTACTAATTTGGTTAACTGGTAATAAGTTATTCCATGAAAACTATTCGTCGATCCCTCGTTTCCATTATCTCTCCAATCGGGGACCAGCTCTTAGCTACCGCCTCGATGATTTCGTAACGCCTCACTTCGAGCCCTTCGCCACTTACGATTGGACGTAAACGCCAAAATGCTCGCCTCTTCCCGCGCGCGCTCGTTTAAACAATCTAGCACTGAGGCGACCTTCAGCTCAGCTACATATACATATACGAAATTCCCTAGCTCCTTGGGATCCACCTGGAGGGACCGGGTCAAGTGTGGGATGGGTGGCAAGGTCTCGCGAAGTACAAAACACATCAGCTAAGCGGAGCCCCGCCCACAGTGGGCGTGGCGTGCATCGAAATGAACTGTACTGAAGACCAAGATTTCAATTTCAGTAACAAAACAGCCTCGAAACTAGGGGAAAAGGTGCGCATTGGTAAGTCAGATGGAATTAGGGAAACCCACCCTCGGTGGGCGGGGCGTTCTCCAAAAAAGCAGTGCTTCAATGGAAAAGGTCTACGGACAACTTGAACTCAGTCCTTTAAACCGCGTCGACTCGATGCTCTCGCCTGCGCTCTCTCGCTTAAGGCAGCGATTACGATAGATCTCACAGGGGTTTAGAGGGGACGTGAGGGTCTCAATAGTACGCCAATGGCGAAAAAAGCAAAGAAAAATCCGTCAAAAATAAGCAAAATAGTACCCCTTTGATTGCCCTTTCATTTTCGGACCATTGGATGAGCGA